TCCAGGCTTTCCGCAAAGCCATTAAGACCTGGCTGTTCCGGCAGGCCTGGGGCTGATGAGTTCCCAGCCACATTCGAATTGTTGTGACTGTTGCGAATTTTTTAAATCTGTTTTTTGTAATTTATTTTTTGTCTTGTTTGTTCTTGTATTGTTCTTCCCCTTGGTTTGTTAGCCGCCCTGAGTCCCTCTGGGAATAGGGCGGCATACAAGTTTAATAAACAATAAACCATAAACCAACCAACCATATTTATTCTGGAAAGAGTGTAGAATTGCAAGTGTGATGGAAGCCATCCAGTGGTGGGATTCAACTTTTTTACTATTTGTTCTGTGGGTGTGGCTTGGTGGGCATGGCTTGGGTCATGTGATTGAGTGGGTGTGGCCAACTAAATGTCACTCATGGCAAAGTGGGGCTGCACCTTGCTGTGAGTGATATTCAGTTGGTCACACCCACTCAGTCACATGAGCCCCCACCAAGCCATGCCCACAGAACCAGCAGAAATGATAGCCCCTGAGGCCTGTTCCTTTATGATCCACCCTCCCCCCCATGTCAAAGTACCTTAAAGGGACACCGCAATCTGGCTGCCTTCTGAGCAACTCCGCTGTAATGCTGTCCCTCTAGCGCAGCACGCTATTCTCCTGTTTGGGTCTGGCAATGGGGTATAGCTGCACACACATACCAACAGGCAATAGGGTGCATGTGCACGAAGAACAGGGCAGTGATGGAGGCAATGGGAATTCTTCAGGCCTCTTTTTCAGACTGTAGTTTTTTGGTAGTTTTGGGTGCAGGAAGCCTGCAGCTGATGCCTTGTTTTCAGTGCAAGAAGCCTCCATCTGTTGCTTCTTTGCCAGCTGGAAATGAGCCAGCAGCAGAGGCTGGAGGCTTCTTGCGCTGAAAAAGAGGCAGCAGCTGCAGTCTTCTTGCACCAAAACTACAGGCCAAAAAAGAGGCCTGAAGAAGTCCCATTGCTGCCCTGTTCTTCGCACCAGCTGCACATTCGGACCCCAATGCCTGCTGGTGCGCAGTCACACCCCATTGCCAGACCAAGCCAGGAGAATGGCCTAATGCACCAGAGGGACTGTGTCACAGCAGAGCTGCTCCGAAGGCAGTCAAAAACTACCGGTGGCTGAACGAGGGCGGTGCCAAAGCTGTGACGAGACGATGTGCGATCTCAAAGTTCTGAGATCTCAGTCAACACTTTTATTATTGGGGGGTCCCAACGGACCTAAATCATCCCAAAGAGATAGTGAATATGTCTTGCTGATCTTGGGGATATCACAAAATCTCCAAAAGAAGCAAGAAAAAGTCTTCAAGCCAGTAAAAGTCTTCAAGACTCTCTGCGCATGCCCAAGATGGTGTCCTGTTGTGTTTGAGGAGAGCTTCAGGGAGATGATTGTCCTTCTCGGGGGCTTGTAGGGGTACCCTTTTCCATCGTTGGTTCCAGGTCTAGCTATGAGAACTTCCTGGGACCTCGTGGATACCCTTGAGCTGCGATTTACTGCTTCGTAGCTGGAACATCGTGAGTGAAAGAAGGCAGCTGGCGGTGAGAGGAGAATAAAGAGCGTCAGTGGCTGCTGATGTGGGTGTGGTCAGCGGCGGCGGCGGTGGCAGGACGCCTGGCTTGGGATCTCTGCAGCCGGCGTGGATGGGCTCAGCACCAGCTTCCCGCTACCCCCCTTGAACACAGCTGGCGTGGGTGTGGTCATCGGAACACCCAACCTGGGGTCTCCGAAGCCAGCATGGGTGTGCTCAGCGACAGNGAGGGACCTGTTGCCTCCCCCTGGGTCTGGTGAGGTGCTGCCCCTTCTTCACCCCCCCTCTCGAGGGGGTTCTGATCCAAAAAAGGATCCACGGAGTTGGTTTGCCAGACAAGCTCTTCAGAGCTCACATCCCCCACATCTGTCCAGCTGGAGAACTTCCTGTCCTCCAAAGAAATCCAGTTTGACACTCCTGTCTTAGTATCGTTTTAATCATTTCTAAGTTTTATTTTTAAACATATAGCCTTCAGGAATAACACAATGCATGGTGAGAGGTTGGGATTGTTTTATGGTTTTCTACAGAGAAATTGGGATTTCTTTTGTGTACAGTTATAAGAACAAGTTATTTTTTGAAAGAAATAATTTTGGTAAGTGTTTTGGCCCATGATATGATTTAGAGAATGATATCTCTTTTACATCTTACTCCAGGAACACAGAACAAATGCACTCCTGGATCACACGGATTAATGTGGTAGCAGCTATGTTCTCTGCACCACCATTTCCAGCAGCCATTGGATCCCAAAAAAAATTCACTCGCCCGTTACTGCCCAGTTCTTCCACAAGACTATCACAGGTAAGTGGGGCATCTTTATTCTTCATTCTTTAGTGATTCTAGTATTATTCTGGAGAAAAATTGAATGGGGTTAAGATCATAAGTTCTAATGCAAAGAAAGGGCTCAGAAATAATGAAACTCCCAGAGATGAATAAACTGCCTTGAAATCAGGAAGAGGCAGTTGTGTGTCTATGTTTCTGTGCAAAAATCTGGATTCAAAGAGCTGGCAAGATTGGTAACATTACCACAGAGGGCAAAGAGGAAAATGAAGACATGTTGTGAATGCCTGTTGGGGCCTACAATAGAGATCAAGCAGCTTTTCTTTCCTTTTCTTTCATAGGAAGAGCAACTGAAGAGTCATGAAATCAAATTTAAAGCCATGGCAGCAGAACTCTTGGAGCATCGTTCCTCCCTCCCTGAGAAGAAGGTGAAAGGCAAGGAGTATGAGGAACTGAAGCAGAAAGAGGAGTATCTGATATTTGAAGTAAGTAGGAAGTCATTAAGAGTGAGATCCAAACACAATTCGCAAAGCAATGTTGGAGATGGTAGCAGAAGAGTGATAGGGAAAATGTTTTCATTTACCAGCCCTTCCATCAGGACTGATCTAAAGCCACCAATAGTAATTTGCTGATACCAAAGATATTTGGAGAAGCAGTTGGTGAATGCTCAAGCTCTGGAAGATATGGTAGTTTAAAGGGACAGCGTTCCCTGCAGTTCTCATTATTCGCTGCTTCTAAGCACACACTTCCTACAATCTTTCATGGCTTGAACGCCACACTTTCAGTTGCTTTCGGTGCCAGTTTCCCACCCCAGCCCCACCAGGCTTGCCTGGTCTGGTGGGGGTGGGGTGGGGAATTGGCTTCTCTGCCACACCAGGAACGAACAGAGATTGGCTATCCCCCAACCCCCGCCGCTGCCAAAGTAAATCCCAGGCACTGCGCTGTAATGGACAGACAAAAAGCATAGCTTTTGTCTGAAGGAGGAGGAGGAGTGTCAAAAAGAAAGGGAAAGAGGCCAAGTAACAAGCCAGGCACTGAAGTGCCACTGCCAAGAGAGAGAGAGGGAGGGAGGGAGAGGGGGAGGGAGGAAGAGAGAGGGAGAGGGAGAGAGAAATCTAATTCAACCTCTCTGTGTGTTTGTGTGTGTGTATATGTGTGTGTGTGAGATCTCCCTCTCCCTCCCTCCCTTTCTCTCTCTCTCTCTCTCTCTCACACACACACACACACACATACACACACACCAATGGTGGATTCCAGATCCCGTCGCAACCGGTACACTGCGACAGGGCTAGGCATCCACCACGCTGCTTAGCAGAGCCTCGCACAGGCGCCATATGCTGTGTGTGAGTGCGCAAATGGCCCGGTTGGGTTCCGATACGGTGCCTACTGCTCCCAGCAGGCACCGGTATGCCTGTACCTGGGCGTACCGGCCAGAACTCACCACTGACACACACACATACACACACACACACACACACAC